CAGTTGGTGCCCGGTTCTTAATTCGAGGCTTATAGGGTTGCCCGCGCCCACAACGGGCACACTCACGGTCGTCTTGGTTGCGGGCCCACGCCCACCTGTGCGCCGCCCTGGCCGGCGATCTTCATTCGACTCGCAAGGCTGTGCCCGTCACCCCCGTGCCGGGTTTTCCGCTGTGGCCCACGACGTTCGGGCGGGCGGGCGGGAGGGGGGCCAAAGGCACGACGCAAACAGCCGCCCTACATCGCCACATCGCCTCCCTACAAGTACAAACCTGTGTGCCTCGGGCGGAAGGGGCGGGAAGCAAGACAGGAAGCAAGGCGGGTTATGCCGTAGGTACTTTGTACATGTATAGAAGGTGGCGGGGGTGTAGAAAATAGGACATGCAAGAACAAATTATCATCATCCTTCTCCAGGTGTGACAGCAGCAACCCACAATGCGCGCCGCGAGAACCCGCACCGCCCTCGCGTTCTCGTCCGAACGGACGGTCCACGCCCGGCCGCCCAACGAGTGTGCCACGGCGGGGCAGAGGATACCGCGCGCGGGCTGGGATTGCCCAGGAAGAAAGGGGGGCCGAAATTCTCGTGGGTCCAGCACGCATGGATGGTGGAGCAAACAAGCAGGCAAACAAACAAACCGACAGAGAGAACTGGAGCTCGAGCTCGGTTGCGACGGAGCGGGAAACAAGGGTGCAGGGAGGGCTGCCTGTGCCACCCTTTGCTGTTTTAGCTGGAACGACACAGCCTCGAGAGCCTGCCGGTTGGGACGAAAAAAAAATTGACATTGAAGGAACGGAAAGCGAAAACGAAAACCCTGTTCTTATTTCTCCTCGAATCGAACGAGGCCATTTGGGGCGAGAACGGGAAGGTTGCGAGACACAAAGTGAGACATTGTGTTTGATTGGACGTGTGATTTTCTGACATTCAATGGTTTTTTTTTAATTCTCTTCATTCTCTCTCTCTCTAATCAGTCAACAACAACCGTGCCATGCTCTCGGATCTATGTCAGGGTCCAAGTCGCAGTTGCAAATCAAAAACAGCTGCGCGTTAAGATTGAGACCAGGCCGTTCGAAAGGAGTACAGTAATGAGAGATGGTAAATAAGGGTGCCCATCTCGGTACCCGTCCTTTCCCCTGTTGCACCTTGACGTTTTTTCCTGTCGAGGCTTGTGTCGTTTTCCCGTTGCGTTTGTTTTCTTCCTCGCTTGAGGAGGGGCGCAAGGGTCGCACTCCGCACTCTTGCAGCATGCACCGCAACCTCAACACCCCCCTTTTTTTTTTTGCTTGTCCCGAAATGCCGTGGGTACCGTCCGTCTGTCACCCTGCCGATTCTCGACCCCCATATGCTTGGCATGGGGTCCCTGGTGGAGGATACCTGCATATCCGCGCGCGCACGGTGCTGGGAAGTGAGAGAGGGTGAGAGTGGGAGATGTGACTGTTTGAAGATGGAGTCAGCGGACGGACCTTGGGATCGCACCAGGGCCCACGCCTTTGGCCAGAGACCTGGAATTGGACACGCCATTTTTATCCCGAAGCGTCGATCTGAGATCCGGCCTGGGTGCGGAGCTCGGTGATGTCAGTCGATGGTCGCAATGGCTCTGGTCTGCGTCCGCAAGCCACTGCCATCGAGGTCGGACCAGCCGGCGAGGACGAACTCCATGGCTCTTTCCAGAATGCCCCATGGCAAAAAAATCAAACAAGTCAACGGGAGACCTACCCGAGCTGCTTCAGATGGCAGAGGGGGATTGGATGTCTTGCTTTTGTGGCTTGCGGCACGATTCATCTAAGGCAAAAGGCAAAAAAGCAAAAAAGCAAAAAAAAAAAAAAGTAGGAGGGGAAGATTGATGATACAATTCCGGCGCTAGACAGTGAGCTCACGGACCCCTTCATGATCCAAGACAAGGGCTCTCGGACCTGCGGCTAGCCCTCGAATCGCCTGGTGCTAGGGATAAAAAAAGAAGAGTGAGAGAAGGAAAGAGAGGGCAAAGTGAGCGAGAAGGGACATCAACCTGGCTAGGGTGGGTGCCTGTCAATGATCCGGTGGCTGCCGTCGCGTTGGCCTCGCTCGTGGTTCCGTTTGGTGGGCTTGTTTCTCTTAGCGGGACCATGTGGTGTTTCCTTTTTTTCAATCAGCAAAGTCAATGTCAGCCGCCCACCGAGCCAGTCAAGTCCAGTCCGCGCCGATCTCATCCTTGGCAGATGCCACTGCTGTGGTGGTGGTAAAGGTGGTGGTGGTGATGGTGGTGGTGGTGTGTGTGAAGTGTGGGCCGTGCTCTTCGGGACCCGGTAGTTGACAATTCCATGGCTGCAAAAGTCACACCCTTGCACCGAGGCTTCCCTCTCCTCTCCCCTTCGATGTCTCGAAAGCAGGACCGGCTGGCCGACGGGATGCCATTCATCCATCCAGCCACGACGGGGCAATGACTAGCAGTTGGTGGGAAGGGTCTCGGAAGGGTGAAGAAAAAATACATGTCCAACGGCAGTCTGCAGGACCTCATACAGAGACTGAACATCCCAAGTAACATACCAAGGCGCCCGATTGGCTCCTGCTCGCGAACCGGAAGCTAGCCTCGATCTCCGTGTTTCGGCCGTGGGGGTGGGCGGTGCGGGCCTCGAACCAGTCACGGTGGCTATGGAACGTTGGCCCTGCCAGGTACACGGCGAACCCGCCAGGTACACAGCGAACCATCGCCCTGCTGTCCCTTTTCCCGAAAAAAAAAAAAAAAAAAAAACAAAGGGCCCGTCCTCGCCTGGGCTGCTTGGCCGTCGTCATCCCACCTGCGTGTGTGTCTGCTCTCTGCTGTCCTTGTCCCATTTTGTGATTGGCCATGAAAAGATGCAAGGTACGGCGATGCTAATCCGGACACACCAGGTACTGTAGATGCCTGGTCCCTGGAGGAAGACATGCAGAATGCACAAAGGGGTCAGTGAGCCAACCTGCTGCAGCTTGGAACGAGGCCATGTCACTCTGCTGTGCGAGTATCACGTCGGGGCACTCGAGCTCCTTTGTTGCTGTATCAAACCAACCCTGCCAACATCGCACCCCCTTCTGCACGTCAGAACATGTGTGAGCTGTGTGCTGCTCGTGTGTGGGCGCGTGGGCGTGTCTTGGGGACCTCTCTGACCCCGCTCGGTCTGGTTTGCTTTTGGTTTCCTATTACGGTGTGTTACTCTTTTCTTTTTTCTTTCTTTTTTTTAATCTTTTTTTCTTTTTTAGTTTTTTAACGGTGCTCCCTCTCACGCCGTCGCAAAGATCAACGATACCAGGCAGTTCATCCGCGTGCAGACAGGATCTCTGGCAGGACGGCCCCTTGTCGGCTCGAGTATCTATTAATCCAGGCCGGCTGCCCCTTTGTCGTCCAGCCTGGCCTTGGGCTAGATTTCAACGTCTTGGACCCGGCCTTTGTGATCGATTTCATTATCATCAATCACACCTAAGAATCGACATCCCCATAAAAGTGCATCGCCAGTTGGCACCCACACCGCCTGGCTGCACTAGCGACACCCCGAAGAAGCCTCGAGTGTCGATACTTTGACGCTGTTTTTTTTTCTCTTCTTTGTGGACCCAGCCCTTTCGCTTTCGAGGCTGCCCCCAACCACCACCACACACATCCACACACATCCACACCAGATTCGGGCACACCACCTCGTACCGAATCTCCCGAGAGCCTGCCGCCCCTCGCCAGCCCGGACCCGCCATTCGATATTAGTTGTGCAAATCTCAGACTTTTTTTCTGCCCCTTCTGGGCCTGGATCATGCACATGTGCTGCACCTGTCGGCACATTCCCACCTAAGCACGTCGTAACCGAAAGAGAG